GAAAACTTCTCGAGGCGATCCGATGCTGGATTGCTGCGGATACACAGTGCATGATACAATTTTGACATGGTGTACTTTTATTGGCCTCTTCTGGCATTGCCGGAAGCCTTCCAAAAAAAACATGCTCGGGCCATGGGTGTGTCTCCTGGAATCTGGTAGGGGGGTCCTGAGCCTTTTGGGGGTCCGTGGGCTGTGCGGGGCTGATCTTTCGCAGATGGCGCCTGTCTTGGGGCGATGTCGGGCCTGTTTGCAGCCGCGCGGATGCTCAAACCGGCTCTTCAAGACAAAACAGGCAGGCGATATTTCCTGGATACTCGTGGTCCCATGCGGGGGGGGTGAGCTGGGGAACCCACGGGAACCCTGCCAGACAATTAGCGAGCTATTCAACACGCCACGACGCGCCGAAGGCGCGCTCGCGGAATTTCAGCAGGGAGCGGTTCTTCCTGACGTTTGACCAGCAGAATTCGCACTAGGTGCCCATTCGGGCATTCGCACTCCCGCCTGTTGGAATTGCGCCCTCGAAGATCTCGGCGTTCCATTGCGTAAGGCCCGCCCGTCGATCCGAGGTTGCCTTGGAATTCCCTGTGCGAGCCGTGGAGGGATCGGGCCCCCCCCCCTCAAAGTTGCTGTTGGGTGGCGCATCCACCGATGCAGCCGCAAGTTTCCGCGGGTGGGGTAGCAATGTCATCTAACCTCAGCAGTTGGTTTCACTTGCCCCGCTCCAGGCCCCGCGAGCCAGATCCTTTAGCTTAATCCCTGTCGTCGCGATCGCCCCGAAACTTCTCCTTCAACTTCTCCTCCCCCACTCCCCACGCCCTCATGGCATTCTCGGCTCAAGCTTCGGGTGCACGTCCGGGGCTACGGAAACGCAGCACGATATCCCACAGAGCACCAATACATCAAACAATGGCTCAGCCGGCGGGCTCCGATGCGGGACCGTCGTCAGCGAAGAAGCGGAAGATGAGCCAGACTGAGCAGAACCAAATCTTCGACAAGATCGTGACCTCTCAGTTCGATGACAACATGGAGCTCCTTCGCAAGAAACTTGAGCACAAGAAAGGCTTGCTCACATTCCTCATTGGGCTGATCGACTCGGGCAAACTTGAGGAAGCATACGACCGCGCACACCAGGACACAGGAGAGGTCCGGCCAGCAACGTTTGCCCAGGGTTACAAGTACATGAAGCAGGCGGGCTCGATATGGATCCGGGACTTTCTGGGGCAGATGAACCCGACGTACAAGATCCCTGACGGTCTGACCGAGGCCGAGAAGAAGGCACGGAGGCTGTCTTTGCCTGACTACATTCATCGCATGTGCCTGGCGCTTCGCATCCACCCCGATTGCTGGCTCTTCCACATGCAACAGGAAACGACGACGCAGACGGCGGTCCAGCGCTGCCGCAACCTGAACAACCCCATCGAGACGGTGTCGCCAACGGACAGCTTGGACAAGAAGGGCTTTTACACGGCCAGCGACGACAATGCGAAGGTGCTCGCTCTTGGTATGGGGCCGTTGCCGCAGGAGCAGCACGAGCGCAATGGCAGCCCTTGCATGTGGGTCCCCCCTCCGTCCGCAGAGGACGTCGAGTGGAAGTTCAAGGATAACTGGAATTCTCAAGCTACCATCATGCATCCAAATGGCGACGCTTTCCAGCTGAAGACCCGCTTCCAGTCGAAGTACCCCGTCCTCTTCACGGAGGCGGCGTGCACGCTTGCCATGTCCATCGAGGCGGATGGGGAGTCGCCACACCCGTCGCTTGGCGACGTCCGCCGCGCGTCCGTGGGCGGCAAAGGCAAACGTGGCAAGGGCAAGGGGGTTTCGAAGGGCGCGGCACCCGCGGCGCCCGCTCCGCCTGCGGCGCCTGCCGCTGCACCCGCGGCGCCGCCCGTTCCGCCGCCTGGCGGCGCTGGCGGAGGCGCCGCGGCGGCTCCGCCCGCAGAGGAAGAGGATGATGAGTGATGAGTGTGGTTCCTGGGTGATTGCACGCGGCGCGGCTGCCTTGCAGAGGCGGGTGCAGCGTATTCCAAACGATGCCAGGCGCTTGGAATAACAGGCGCGCTTTTGAGCGATTGCCACTCGTGAGCTGTAGACCCAAGTTGTGCGCGTCTGTCCGCCTGCTGGTCAAGCCCGTCCGTGTATCCAGGGGGCAGGTGACTCATCTTGCTCCTCTTGCGCAGGGATGGTGCCCAAATGATCCTTTTCGAGAAGCCCTGGTGTGCAATTCCTATTCAGAGGGGTGTTTTTTTCCTTCCTCTCGCTCCTCCCCCCCACCCCTCTTTCTGTAAACTTTTACCTCCGTCTGCGCGTCGCCGCATCGAATTCGCAAGCGACCGAAACTTTTCGAGTGCCGCCCCTTTCATTCCCGGGGGGGGGGGCCACGGGGGGCGGCCCGAGGGCGAGCGGGGCAGCAAACTGGGAGGCGACGGGGGCCTGTGTATTGCGCGGCGGTGCCAGGACGACGGGGAGGTGGGCTGGGGGGAGATGCGCGTGAGGGAGAGGAGCGGGGGGTGGGAATTGTTGACGCTTCGCCTATCCCCACCAGCCCATCCAGAAACGACGCCCAGGCGAGTTGAGGTGCCCAGGGAAGTGTGGGAGCAAAGATGGAGAAAGCCGAGCCGAGCCAAGGAGGGACGTCTCCCCCTCCCTACGTCGCTCCCCCTCCCCGCCGCCCGCGCACCCGTTATGTCATCGATATTGGCTCCTGGGGCTGAGCACACGCAGAAAATGTTGCAAAACACAATACGAAACGCCAACATTGAGGTGGGAAGATGTTTGCCCAACGTGGTACATTTCTCCCCCACTTTATGTTTGGCGTTTCGCATTGTATTTTTACAATGCATTCTGCGCGTGGCGCCTGGAGGGCTCCAGAATGCATTCTGCGCCCTCCCAAAAACCTCAAGGAGAGCAACAAGAGGGCCGCAAAGTGGCTCCAAGGGGGCCCCTACCACGACGGCCGAAAAAGATATTCAGATGGCCATGGCCATCTGAATATCTCTTGGGCCCCTTTTTGGGGCCCTCCGGGGGCGCGGTGGGCCCTCCCAAGAGGCTCCAGGAGCGCCCCAAGAGGGCCGCCAAGTGGCCCCAAGCAGGCCGCCAGAGGGCTCCAAGACGGCCGAAAAAGATATTCAGATGTCCATGGCCATCTGAATATCTCTTGGGCGTTTTTTTGAGGCCCTCCGGAGGCTCGGTGGGCCCTCCCAAGAGGCTCCAGGAGCGGCCCAAGAGGGCCGCCAAGTGGCTCCAAGGGGGCCCCCAGAGGGCTCCAAGACGGCCGAAAAAAATATTCAGATGTCCATGGCCATCTGAATATCTCTTGGGCCCCTTTTTGAAGCCTTCTGGGGGTTCCGTGGACCCTCCCATGAATCTCCAGGAGGGCCCCAAGAGGGCCGCCAAGTAGCTCTGCTAATCGCCCCCCTCGCCGCAATTGCCTGGTGCGCGTGCTGATCCCCTTCCTCCTCCTCCCCTCCTCCTCCTCCTCCTCCTCCTCCTCCATCCTCCTCCTCCTCCTCCTCCATCCTCCTCCTCTTCCAAGTGGGCCCCGTCTCATCCTGGTTATCCGCTACGTCCTGCTATGATGCCCCGCCCCTCTGGTTAGAACCCGCGTCGCCGCTGTAGTTCTAACAAGGAGAAGGAAGAAATGCCGGAGGCTTGTTTTGTGCACGAATAAACCCACAAACTGGCTCAAGTGCATGCTGGCTCAAGTGGCTCAAGGCTCAAGTTGCCACTTCCGAGGGTTAAAACTGAGGCCTCAGTTTTAACCCTCAAGCGGACCAGGTCACCGAAGGCCCCCGACCAGGAGCCCTGCCAAGGGTGGGGTGCCGTCCTAGTGTTTCTCTACACCAGTTGCACTCCCGACCTTCCCTCTGCCATGGCGCCGTGCCAGGTTTGCCTCCGTCAATTTGGAAAGGAACGCTACAGCAGGAGTGCAACTGCAGCAGCCACTAGTTGGAGACAGCCGCCAAGACCGACCCTCAAGGCAGCTTTAAAGCTGCGCGCGCACGGCGCCGTGGACTCTTCCACCGCCTCGCGCGCGAATGCAACATGAATTTCGAAAGAAACGCTACCGCAGGCGTGCCACTACCGCAGCCACTAGTTGGAGACAGCAGCCATTTTTCATCAGGGAGGGGGAGGAGAGGGGAGAGGGAGCGGGAAGGGGGGCCACTGACGCCAGACCACAGCGCGAAAGAGAAAAGTAAAAGGAAAGCGGAGGCAAGAACCTCCCATGCCCGCCCCGCGCACGAAGAAACGCTGCAAGCGCAAAAAGAGCGGAGCCCTCTTGGAGCCCCAAAGGGCTCTAAGAGGGCCAGGAAGAAGCGGCTCCACCGACCCCTAGGGGCAAACATTATGTTAACACGCTGCGGCCTGAACACTGTTCTCCTAAGCACTGGCGGGACCTAGGGGCAAACATTATTTTAACACGCACTGTTCTCCTGGCGGGAAGTAGGGGCAAACATAATGTTAACAACCTAGGGGCAAACATTATGTTAACAGGCATTGTTCTCCTAAGCACTGGCGGAACCTGGGGCGCACATTATGTTAACACGCTGCGGCTTGATATGTTCATCTTGCCGGGACTGCGCGGTGGCCCTGGGCTGGTCTTGGGCTTCGCCCCGTCGGTCCGTGGCTTCCAGAGGGGGTCACTTGAAGACGAGAGTTGGGCCAAATTTGTTTCTCAGGTGACCCCTGGTTTCCCCTTCCCAGAGCGTCCCTCCGAGCCCTCCGTCCCCGGAGGCGTTGTGCACAAAGCATGCCGAAGTCGAATTCCGCGGTTGGTGCGTTCTCTTCTGCCGTAGGTCACTTCAGAGCTGCCTCGGTCGATCGGCCGCCGTCCGAGGCGCCTTTGAGGTGCCTGTGGCGTTCTCCCGTGGGCCGCGATCGAGGGGCGCGGGGTAGGGGGAACAGAAGGAGCACGGGGAGATATAGTAGGGCCGCAGATGAAAGCACCCCGTCAAACAGACATTCGCAATCCACACCCCAACCACTCTGGCTCGAATCCAAATTCAAGTGACGCTGAGAGCAGCCTGCGCCATCCCCCCCCCGCTCGGACCTCTTAGCATGGAGGTCTCTCACGTGGGCCTCGTTCGCCTGACTGTCGGCGGCGCTTCCGGGCAATGCTTGGAGCACACGGGGACTGGTGAGATCGTCAGGCTACCTGACGACATGGGCCCAGATTGTGCACTTGCCTTCTCAGGTGATGGTTTCGCTTACTTGACGCTGCCGCACCGTAGGAACGACCGAGTGGGCGAGATGGCATCCGACGGTGTTTCTTTCGTTGTGTGGGCAAATAATATTTTCACTCGGACCTATCACAAAACCGACTCAGGCAAACCTTTCGTGAAGAAAGAAGATGGCGCCGCCGTGTGGTGCAAAAAACTTTCCGAGGAGTCTTCGTCATCAGGTTTTGAACATACCAGAGGCACAAACAAGACCATCCACATTCAGGTTTGGCTCTACACTCTGCCAGTCGCTGGTTGTTTCATGTTTTGGTCTCTGCCCTGCCTGGTCCTGGCAATGCTGGGGAGGTACAGTTGGCCATTATTGAAAAAAAGAGTCGAAGCATGCAAGAGGATCGCGTTGCAGCTCGGCCTCGATGCATCGAGCTGCATGCCGAGCACCCGTTCATTGTTAGCTTCTGCGAGGAATGACATACGATGTGGTGGTGAGGGCAAGGTGAGGGCTCTCGACCTCACTCAAAGCAGCGACGACACCAAGCTTTCCACGACTCTCATGCTTTGGTTTCTCGTAAAGTCATTGGTCAGCAAGGGGAAGAGCGAGCCACAGGAGGCCGAGAACTCCAGACTTATCATGGAAACGTTCTTTGACAGGTATCTCGCGCACGACGGCGCTTTTTTCACCTACGGACCAGAGGCTGCGATTGGGGAGGCCGCTATTCCACCTCGACGGATCGTGGTGGCAGGCGGCGGCGTGGATGCGGGGGCCTTGACGATCCTTCTCGGCCACGGGTTGGCCGCGCAGTTTTTCAGACGCACTCCAACCGACGATCATAACAAGGCGCCTGCGTAAACCCAGCGAGCCGTAGCCGCAGCTCCGAAATCACAGAGTTCTTAGGTTTCGTGCTCGTTTTGGTCCGACAACCTTTTAAACGTGTTCGTGTCATGCTGCGCCTTGCCCTTCAAACCTCCATCTCGCGAGCTGCGTCTATCTAGCGGCCTCCAGCCCATCCCGCCGCCGCGCTTTGGTCATGGGCTAGGCGCATCCGAAGGAGGCCTGGGTACATGGGGGCACACCGTGGGTTAGGACTGATTGCGCGAGCACTGCGCCTCAAGGGTAATTGTTTGGGAAGCGTTACATTTTGCGCAAGAGATCTGACTTCAGTCGGGTCCAAGGGGGCCCAAGACGGCTCAAAGACGGCTGGAGGCGGCCCAGGGCGGTTCAAGAGAGTTCCAAGAGGCCCTCAAGAAAGCCCCTAAAGGTCTCAAGAGGCTCCCGAGAGAGCCCCACGAGGGCTACAGGAGGTCCCAAAGAGAACCCCACAAAGCCCCAAGATGGCGCCAGGACGGCCCACGCCATCCCAGACGGCCCACAGGGCCCTAGGACGGTCCAAGGAGGGCCCAAAGACGGCCCAAAAGAGCCCCAGGAGGGTCCCCAAGAAGGCACTCGCAGGCCACATGTTTTTTCCCGTCTGCTTTGTTTGATTAGATTCGACGTGTACGCGTCAAAATCTTAACGCCCAGAAAGCTCCGGGACGCGATGCAAACGTTCTCGCGCCCTCGCAAAATACGAACGTTTTCTGTCCCCGTGCTTCCCACATACTCATCCTTTCAGGAGCCAAGGCTTCGCCAAATGGTACTGAGAGTCCCAGGGGGTATCCAGGCGCTCCATTCTGTGCAAGTCGCACGGTGGCGGATAGCACGTTGCACCCCAGGTGCCGCTTGTGTATCTGTTGCGTTTCCTGGGGAACCCTATCGGGAAGGACCCGTCGAGTGATGCCAAGATCAGCCTTGCCAAAGACATCATTTCCAGCCTCGCATGCGTCATGGAGTGTTCAAGGGTGGACGGAGACAATTGGCCGACTGAAAAGATATTGGAGTTGCCAGCCATAACCACGCCGACAGGGAAGAACCGCAAGACAACCAGACTCTACAAACTAGAGCTTTTAAAGAAAATGAAGCAACATCCAGCCCTGAAGACAGCCAAAGCAGCACTTGCTGGAATGAAGATCTGGGGTCGCAAAGGGAAAGGGCGTGAGACCGTCTCCCAGGCCACGCGGTGGGACTGGGATGTTTTCTTTGGTTACATGTCCAATGGGTGGTCCTTCATGCCGAACCGCGGGTCCCTTTGCATGCAGACCGACGGGGTGTGGCTCGCAGGTGAGGAGACAACTTATTGAATGCGCCTGCGGTGGACCACCGCCTCCCCCTGCCTTGTGGAAGCGCCTGTGTGGCCCAACGTTTGGGCCAGAGCTTGGCCATGCTTGACCTTCTTCGCGCCCTTGTAGACCGTCTTGGGTCCATCTTGGGCCGTCTTGGAAGCATTTCGGGGCCATCTTGGACGTCGTTGGGGCCGCGTGGGCCGGTGTGGAAGCGCTTAAGGATCGTATCGGAGGAGACCTTGGGCCATCGTAGCAGCCCTGGAAGCCATATAACGACTTCGAGCGCCCTTGGGGGGGCCCCGTGTGCCAGCCAGGATCGGGCGACATCTTTTTCGGGAGCTTTTCAAAAATGCATCCGCGGACAAAGTTCGGAGCGCCAATAACCCCGCTTGCAGGCAACAAGGGGCGGTGGATCCTGTGGCCTTCGGCATCTCCCGCCAAGGTGTCCGGGTTGTGGGCCAAATCCTTCGTGGATGCCCCCTGGGGTCTCGGGGGGTGCCTCCTGGGGGCGACATTGGGGCCTCCTGGGGGCAGCTTATTGGCCTCTTGGGGGAATCTTGGGGGCCCCCTGGGGGCTCCAGGGGGGGTTCGGAGGGGCCCCGGGGACACGTTGGACGTATGGGAGGCCATCTTGAGGGGAGATGCCCCGCCAGCCACCTCGAGTTCCCCCTCTTTCTCCCCTCATGGGGTTCTCTTGGGGCCTCTTGCACCGCCTTTGGGCGTATCGGGTAATTCCGGGGCCGTTCTGGGCAGCCGAGGGTTTTCCTTCGGGGATGATGAGGTCGTCCCTGGGGGGGTCTTGGTGGCTCCTTTGGCCGATTCAAGCGTCTTCAAGTTGGCAAAACGCGACAACTCGGAATCAACGCGGCAATACCATTCGAGCTTCAATGGTTTTGGCAATGTCGGGTCTTCTTGGGGTTCCCATTTGGGGCTTTCTTGGGGCGTTTTCGGGGCAGCCTGGCCCGTCTAGAGTCCATATTGGGCCGCCTCGGGGCGTTGATGGGTTGATGGGGGGCCCCTCTCTGGCCATGCTGCCGCCCTCTCGGGCCACCCTCGGCCCGTTTTGGGGCTGTCTGGCCTCGCGAAAAGCCACGCGGCGATCCCAGGGAGTCTGCGGAGCGCCCCGCCCCCGGGGCCTCCTGGCTATTCAAGGAGCGCGGTGAACATGCAACACAGGGAGTTCGAAGGGACTTGCAGAGACTTTAATTCGTGCTGCGGGGCACGGTGGCGGATTACATGTTCTGGGACCCGTCCGGCGACAATCGCGTGTGGGCGCCTGTTCAGGCGGGATCTTTGCTTCAAAACTTGGGGCGAGCGTTGCCCGTCCCAAGTTGCTCACACGTTGTGGACATATGCCCAGGCCCGACCTGATCTTTCGAGGTCCGAGCTTGGCGCCCCCGTCCGCACTTTTGAGAGACCCCCTTCGTACTTTTGAGAAATGTGCTCAAAAGTTGGTTTCGCCTGATACATCCGCACTTCATACTTTTGAGCGACCACCTTCGTTCTTTTGAGCGACCCCCTCCGTACTTTTGAGAAATCCGCTCAAAAGTTGGTTTCGCTTGAGACATCAACGATTGTTACTTTCGAGAGGACGTCCTCACGAGTAAAGCTTGGTACTTTTGAGCAAGGACCCCCCCCCGCCCCTCGCACACAGGAGGCGCCAGGGTGGGGAAGGCCCGTGCGCTGCAGTGCCACTGGATGGCTAGGGCATCTCTTGGCGCGGAGCTGGGGCGCGACAGTGGGGGCGACCCACTGATGCATTTGTCTTGCCTTCGTCGTGGGTGCCCCATGCCGTATAGGAATTCCAGTGGAGAAAGCCCGCGGCGGCGCCCCCGGGCCTCGGCGGCGGGCCCGACGGGGAGCCCGGGGCGCCTCCGGGTCACCTGCAGGGAGGCGGCTCTGGACCGTCTCCGGGTCGCTCGGAGGCGGCTCGGGGGCGCCTCCGGGTCACCCGGAGGCAGCTCTGGACCGCCTCCGGGTCACTCGGAGGCGGCTCGGGGGCGCCTCCGGGTCACCCGGAGGCAGCTCTGGACCGCCTCCCAGTCGCCCGGAGGCGGCTCTGAGGCGCCCCCGGGCCTCGGCGGCGGGCCCGACGGGGAGCCCGGGGCGCCTCCGGGTCACCTGGAGGCGGCTCTGGACCGTCTCCGGGTCACTCGGAGGCGGCTCGGGGGCGCCTCCGGGTCACCCGGAGGCAGCTTTGGACCGCTTCCAAGTCGCCCGGAGGCGGCTCTGAGGCGGCCCCGGCCGAGGCCCAGAATAAAAGTCAAGACAGCGCCGTCTTGACTTTTATTCCGGGGCTCCGCCGGCCTCCCAATTGGCGGCGCCCGGGGAGCCCATCTTGCCGCTCGCCGCTCGCGGACGGGGGGGTACCCTGGGAGGGTTGTCGTCCCCGAATGCCGCAGCCAAGAGAGCCCCAATTGGAGCCCGAGGAAGGCGCGAGATTGAGTTCCAGGATGTGCATCGGCCGTTGCACATCTCCCAGCGGGATGAAGGGGGCCTTCAAATTGGGCCTCTTGGAACCCGACTGGAGCCCTCTTGGAGCTTTCTTGGAACCCCACAGGGCTCCAAGAACCCCCCAAGAGGGCCCAACACCTTTTCACGTAAAAGAGCCTTGTTCGTGATAAGGTGTTGGGCCCTCATGGGGAGCTCTCGGGGGCCTCTTGGAACTCTCCTTGGGCCCTCTTGGGGCCCTCCTGGAGCCCTCTTGCAGCCCCAGAAGAGTTCTAAGAGGGCCCCCGAAGGGTTCCAAAAGCCCCCCAAGAGGGCCCAACACCTTGTCACGAACAAGGCCCTTCTTCGTGACAAGGTGTCGGGCCCTCTTGGGGGCCTCTTGGAACCCTCCTGGAGCCCTCTCGGGGCTCTCTTAGAGCCCTCTTGGAGCCCCAAAAGGGCTCTAAGAGGGCCCCCACAGGGCTCCAAGGACCCCCCAAGAGGGCCCGACACCTTGTCACAAAAAAGGGCCTTGTTCGTGACAAGGTGTTGGGCCCTCTTGGGGGGCTCTTGGAACCCTCCTGGAGCCCTTTTGGGACTCCACCTGCGCCCCCTTCAGACATCCGTAGTTGTTTTGGCACAAGCTTCTCCAAGGATCGTTCTGGGGGCCTCCCGTGAGCGCCGTGGCCGCGCGGGGAGCCGTTCCGGAGGGGAAATTATGGTGCGAAACACATTGTCACCTTAAGTTGGTGCTTCGCAGACCGTCTTCGGGCCCTGTGGGGGTCCTCTTGGCGCCGCTGTTCGGCCTTTTTTTGGCTTGTCTGGGGGCCTTTCCGGGAGCGCCGTGGCCGCGTGGGGAGCCGTTTCGGACGGGACATGAAGGTAAAAAAAAAGCTCTCGCCTCACTTTACGCCCAGCTCGGTGGCCCCTGAGCCACCAGATCTTGTAGGGCCCCGCCGCGCCCTACAGGATCCGCGGCCTTGTCCTGTAGGGCCCCGCCGCGCCCTACAGGATGCTGCTGCTGAGGCTCGTCTCTGAGGCATGGCCTCACCCCTCGCCAGTTCGGCTAGTGTCCGTCCCGTCGGATGCTAGACCTTGACTGTCCCCATTGTCGCCGTTTTTTGGGTCACCCGATGTTGTTGAGGACGGTGGTGCGTTGATTTTGGCGCTTGATTTAGGTCATCCTGAGGATCCTCCTTGGGGTCTCAATGGGCGTCCTCAGGGCTCTCTTCGAGACTCGGGAGCGTCCGAGGCGGGCTCCCAAAGGCCTTCAAGAGGTGCCGAAACCTGACACAAGTTCGGCGTAAGCCGCTCCCTTGCTGAGGACAGTGGCGCTTTCAATTCGCGTTGATGTTTGGGTCCTTTGGGTGGCCTTCTGTGGGCTCAGGAGGCCCCGTCGGTCCGCGCTCTGTGTCCATGCAGCCCCCCAGGCGGTCTCCGCGGGCCCCCCAAGAGCCCCCATCAATCGATTCAGATTTTACGTACGCAAGCCGTTCCCGTGGTGAGAGCGATGGCGAGTTCAGTTTGCGTTGAACTTTGGGCTTTCTGGGTGTCCATCTTGTGGCTGTTCGAGTGCCTCCTAAATGTCCTGCGCGCCCTACTGAGGCTTACATATAATTTGGATGTGTCGGGATTTTTGCTTGAAGCGTTTGAATTGTTTCCACGCCAGTGCGACGGGGAATTTGAACAGGTTTGGAACGTTGCCCAATAGGTTAAGCGTGAGAAGAAGACGAGGACAACGGAGCCCGGCAGCACCCCCACCATTGCTGAGAGGGAGCACTACAGCAAGGCCATGGAAACTTTCTGGGAGGGGGCGAACGAGCCAGCTAAAAAACGTCAGAGACGATCATACGTGGAGACGCCAAGAATGGCAACGCTCCTTTGGATTCGGGAGACGGACAACGCCATGAGGCACAGCTTGAGGAGGCGTTTATCTTCATTCCAGGTCGATTTGGACCAGGTTAAAGCTCTGATGGATGATAAATCGATGTGCTTCCAGTCCCTTGCAAGGACAGCCCCAATACTTTCTGCTGTGCTGGATCAGGCGCCTTGGCAAGTGACGGGCAGCCATTTTTTAAAGTATAGCAAGATGATTAACCTCGTCACTCTGTGGGACCCTGCAGCCCATCGTATACACAATGATTGGAAGTCCGGGATATCTTGGGCTAAACTGAATACGGCTGTGTACGCAACTACGACGCTATTCAATTTTACGTCTGGCCCTTGCAAGTCCGCAGGGCGTTGGCTTACCAACATACAAGAAACCATATTCTGGCCTGCGCCCTCCGTCGCCGCCGCCCCGGGATCGGGGACCCTTGGGCCCTCTGGATACATCTTGGGTCTCTTGTGCGCCTTCTGCGGGTTCGGGAAGGTCTCTCTTGGGAATCTCGGCGAGGCCCCTGAAGCCTCGAAGGGCCCCGTGGCGACGCCAGGGGGCGCCGCTGCGAGCGTCTCGGGAACGCGTCGGCGGCGTCGCGTGCATCTTCGTTTTTTTTTTTTGCGTCGACAAGTTCCATTTTTGAGCGGCTTCTGGGGGCCCTCTGGGGTGCTCGTTGGGCTCCTCGCGTTGGTTCGGGGGTCCTTGGCGGCGGAATGGGGAGCTTCCAGAAACGGGTTCGACGCCCGAAACGTTGCGCGAGCGAATACAGTGTAAGTTGAGAGCGCGCCTGGGAGTTCTGAATGGTTTCGTCCGCTTCGGTGGAAGCCTGTGGCCCCGATGAGGCCCCAGGACACCCCGAACGCTGCTCGAGGACGGACCCCTCGAGGCATCGGCAAGCAAGCCGAATGACTGGGACTCGGATTGGCCCTCGGGGGCTCCGAGGCAAGGCGCGCGGGGATCCGCGGGGGCCCTCAGGGGCCCGCGCGCTCGAGCGAAAACAATTGGATGCATGGTGGCTTACAGGGCATGCCAATGTGAACATTGTATGTTTTGGGGCTCCAGAGGGCGCCCCAACCTGTGCCGGGAGCACGGTGGCGGTTTCTGGAGGCGAAGGAACTGTTGGAAGAAAACGACGCCAGTCTTGTGGCCTTGTGGCCCGACATTTGTTTCGAGCGCGGTTGGCGGACAGAGTCCGAGACAAACGTGGAGGCGAGGAAACAATTCATCAAGGACCTCCCTTTTCTCGATATTGTGCAGAGGCAGGGAGAGACCATCGCTTTGGCGCGCTGGCTCTCATATCCGAAAGGTGAGAAACAACGACGTAAAGGTTGGTCTGAGACACTTTTGTTGTTGTTGCACTGGGGCTTGACCACGGGCGCTGTTTCGAAGGCGTGGCAAGTTTGGAAGACCACAAAGGTGAAGGAGGCGAAGGCGCAACAAGACGTCGAACCGCCTCTGGGGGGCGAGGGGGACTCCGAGAAAACGGCGGCTTGCCCGATCAAGACTTCTTCGGAAAATATGGGTGCCATCTACGAGCGGTGTAAAAATCAATAGTTGACGCTCCGCGTATTCCCGCCAGCCCATCCAGAAACAACGCCCAGGCGAGTTGAGGTGTCTAGGGAAGTGTGGGAGCAAAAATGGGGACAGCCGAACCGAGCCAAGGAGGGATGTCTCCTCCTCCCTACGTCGCTCCCCCTCCCCGCCGCCCGCGCACTTGTCATGTCATCGATGTTGGTTCCTGGGGCTGAGCGCGCGCAGAAAGTGATGCAAACCACAGTGCGAAACGCCAAAATTGAGGGGGGATGAAATTTGCCCAAAGTGGCACATTTCTTCCCCCCTCAATGTTGGCGTTTCGCATTGTATTTTACAGCACTTTCTGCGCGTGCTCAGCCCCAGCAGCCGAGATCGATGACATGACGGGTTGGCGGACGGCGAGGGGAGGAGCGCCTGCCCTTCCTCCTCGAGGACGAGGAAGAGGAGAACGAGGAGGAGGAGCACGAGGAGAAGGAGGAGGAAACGAAGGAGGAGGACGAGGAGGAAGAACAGGGCGAACATAATAGCCAAAAGCATCTTGAATGCCTCTCGGGGTCTCCTCGGATTGATCGTATACGCTTTTTGAAAGAGGGATTTCCTTGGGGATGTGTTGCGGCCCTTTTGGGCCGTCGCGGAGCTTTCTTGGGCCATTGCAGCTCTCTTCGGGTGCATGTCGGAGCCCTTATAGGCTCCAAGAGGGCCCAAGAGCAGCATAACAATTACATAAAAACACATGGTTCTGGATCCTGGGGCATGCCGCTGTTAAGACGGCCCTTAAACGTTTTTTGAAGGCCTCTTGAGGCGTTAGGGGAGCTTCTTGGCAGGCCCAGGTGTATTTTTTGTGCGTTTTGGGTGCCCCGGGGATTCTCTTGGAACCTCTCGGCGTCTTGGGTGCCTCCTGGGAGCCTCCTGGGAGCCTTTTTGGGGGCCTCTTGGGGGCCGCTGGGGTCCTATTGGGGGCCTCTTGGGGGCCTCTTGGGAGCCTCTTGGGGGCCTCTTGGAACCATCTTGGAGGCTTCTTGGGGCCCCTGGGCGCCTCTTGGGGCCACCTTGGAGGAGATCGATCAAAGAAGAGGGGCCCCCTAATTAGCGTCGCCCCCTCGAGCCTCTAAAATCGCCTCTTGGACCCCTCTTGGAGCGCTCTTGGAGCGCTCGGGCGCTCTTGGGGCCGTTTTGGGGCTCTCTTGGGCCCCTCTTGGGGCCCTCTTGGGCCATCTTGGAGCCATCTTGAGGCCTCGGGAGGCCATCGGAAGCGAAACGGCGAGAAAACAAACATCATGTGTTTTCCTTTGGTTGTTGGAAGATGTTGGCTTCTTGGGGCCGCCTTGGCAAGCTCTTTGGCCTCTTGGAGCCGTCTTGGGGCGATCTTGGGGCCTCTGGGAGCATCTTCGAAACCATCTTGCGGCATCTTAGGCTATCTTGGGCCATATTGGAGCTCATCTTGGGCTCTCGGACGCGCTCTCGGAGCCGTCTTGAGCGAAAAAGTACCGTCTGACATCTCGCGACCGCCCCCGTTCAGGTCCAGAGGAGGGGGTAGGGGGAGAAGTAATCCCCTCCCTGAAGGGGAAGAAGGGGGTTGGAAGAGGAAGCTCCCTAAACCACCTACGCCCAGAGGGCTGGTGGGATTGCACGTATGTTTGGAGCTGGCCGCGAGCCCCGATTTGAAAGAGGCAAGCCGGATAATCGGCATCGTGTCGGAGCCGTTGAGCACCCAGCATGGCCACTGGATGCAGGATCTGAGAACTAAGGCTGGTAGCCGTAAGTTTTTTCTAGATGCCGCCACGTGGGGCCACGTGGGTGAGCTTCACGCGTTGATCGATTGTCTCTTCTGTCCAGAGAAGCTCGAGTGGATGGGGCTCGACATGCATCCCCCGAGCAAGCTCCCTGGAACCACAGTGCCAGAAGAACGCATCCTCTCCCAGGACATCGCAGCCAACGAGATCTGGACGCTCACCTTTGGCATGCTGAGAGCTCGCGCAACTACCCAAACTTACTATGCAACTGCTTACCCATTGATTTTGGCACGGTCTCTTTGGGATGACCCCATCAAGATCAACGCGTTCTTGTCGCAAACAAAGACTGTATGTGAAATGTTCAAGAAGGCCGAATCAAACCCAAACGCGTTCGTGCAGCAGCTTGTGCGCCGGAGCCAGATGATGGAACCCATTATGAGGGTGACTTCTGTGATTCTGCTGCACGGCAACTTCGGACAGTATGCTGTGGATTCGTTAGTGGCGTATTGGAAACAGGCATTCGAGGGCATAGCCACGTCTAAGCCAATGGAAGACAACAACAGGGCTGCTAGATCAGAGGAAACCCGAGCTCAAGAATCGAAAATGATGACTCGGGTTCGGAGGTCCTTGGTGCCAGTCAAATCGGATATCGGTGCAACGTGGGATCGACCTGCCCCGTCGTCCACACAAGCATCTTTGCCAACTCCGGAGAAGCTCCGAGAGGATTTATAGAAAACGCCTGCGGCGAAACACTGCCGCCCTCTGCCGCGTGCAAGTGCCAATGCAACCAAACGTTCGGCCAGAGCTCGGCCAAGCTACTGGACGACGTGCCCCCCAAACCATACCCTTTCGGGGGACACTTGGGGGGGAAAGGAAAACGATCAGGAGAAGGAGGAACATGGGGAGTAGAACGAGGAGGGAGGAGGAGGCATGATGGGGCCATCTTGGAGCCTCCTGATGCCTTTTGGCGGCCTCTGGGGCCACAGTGGGATCGTGTCGGAGCCATATTGGGCCGTATTGGATTTATATCGAGGCCATTCTGGCCGTCTCGGAGGGCATGTTGGACCATGTTGAAAGCCATTCAGGGCCATCCTGGCCGCCTTGGAGGCCTCCTCGGCCGTCTGGGAGTCCACCTTGGGCCATTCTAGCCGTCTTGGAGGCCATTTCGGGCCGTATTGGGGGAATCTTTGGAGCTCTTCAGGGGGCGTGTTGGGCCATCGTGGAGCCATTATGGAGGTCAGCTGGGCCGTGTGAGGTTGTCGGAAACCTGAGATGGCGACAGCGCTAAGCTCCTTGAGTGCACACTTACAATTAATGCTACTGGGCCTCGCGAAGGCTTCCTGGGGAATCTCGTGGATCACCCTGGAGCGGCCCAGGGACCTTTAATATAGTCTTCAGCCCATATTGGGCCGCCGTGGGTCCATGCTGGGCCGCCGAGGAAACATTCATGGGCCATTAGGGGCTCGCTTGGAGGGGGCTTGGACAGCTCGGGGGCGTCTTGGGGCCCGCCTTAAAGGAATACTGGGCCGTCCCAGCCGTCTCGGAGTCAATGTTTGATCGTCCTGGGATTGTCTCGGGGCCATTGTGTAGGCCCACTGGGCCGTCCTCGGGCCATCGTGGAGGCTTTCGGGGGGCGCGCTTGGGGTCCCCAGGGGCGTCTTGGGGGCCCCTCGGGCCGTCTTGAAGCCGCCCTGCGCCGTCTCGGGGCGCTCGTTGGCCGAGCGTTGTTTTTTTTTTAGACCGCCACAGGGCTCTGTTAAGGCCCTCGTGGCCCGTTCGAGGTCTCTGTGGCATCGGGGGGGGGGGCCGCGTGGCGATCCCCGGGGAGGCATGGGGCCCCCCTTGCTCCTGGGGCCGCTGGGCACCCCCAACAGTTCTCCGCATGCTCGTTGCAAAGACCTCCGAGGGACCTGAGGACACCTCAACTCGTGCATCGGGGCACGGTGGCGGATTTCTCGTTGGGGAGGTCCAGATAAAGAGCGAGGGCATTCCATACAATGATGTTTTGAAAGACCATACCTGGCCCACGGTGACTGCCCACGAGCTCTTCAGGTTCTCTTCCGAACAGTCACTCATATCGTACATGGTGCGCACCGATTCCATTTCGGTTGCAGACTACTTTTGGTATGCTTCTATCTTCCCCGAAGGGGAGGTCGTGCACAACTTGTTGACTGATTCCTTCTCTTTGGTACTTCGTGTTGCGGAAGATTCGGGGGTGCTTATGTGGCCGTGTGAGCTCGCATCAGACGAATACATTTACCTTAACAGGCCGACGTTCCTCGAATGGACTCACGTCGACGACTTGAAGGAATGGAACATAGTGAACACTACGATCGTAAGCCCCCTGAGGTTGATGACGTCCCACGAAGGCGCGAAGCTCGAGAACCCCATCGGCTGCGTCATCAGACGCAGCTCGGCCGATGACTCCAGAATGCTCGCTTGGCATGCCCAGCGAGCTTTCGCCCACCTGCCACAAAAAACAGTGAAGCGGCTAGTTGAGGAGTACGGCTTGAAAGCGAACGCTGAGCTCGGCAAACTCGGCCTGGAATGCCAGGAAGAAGCCGAGATCATGGCGCTCATGATGAAGGTGACTGAGGGCATGGATGCAAACCAGTGCGAGTTGGCATTCTCGAAAAGGCGGAAGATTCTTTCTGGGGAGGACACTTCGGCGCTGCAGCCGATCATCGATGACCCTGAGATGCTCGAGCTTGTCGTGCCCACTAACGAGGCTAACAAATGGAAGTCGTGGGTGGCTCCGGAGGAGGGAAAACGAACCCAGCTCTCGGCCTCTGCGAAAGCTACCAAAACCATGCGAGATAAACTTTTTCCGGCCGCCAAGAAAGCCGCGGCCAAGGCCAAGGGCAAGGCGCAAGGCCCCAAGCTGTCCGTGGCTGCACGTAAGCATCGGAGGGAGCAAATCGCAGCAGGGGACTTCCAGGCCGTTGAGTTCTTCAGGCCCCCCATGCTGCGGATCACGGTAGAGGACGGACTTGGGCCCCGCATTGTGCGAGCGAGGGGCGGTTGGCATTCCTCCCCGCCTCCCCGTCCGCGCATTGCATTGCGCCTTCGGTGCGTAATCAACCGATTGTAAGTTATATGCCCAATGCTCTTCCGAAACAACTTTCAGGCCGAGGTTGTGGGGGGGGGGCAGGGGGATTGCCAGCCCGTGATTCGCTCGCTCGGCCGGGGCCCTAACAGGAGAAGGGCACGTGCCTGCGCGTCTGGGATGGACATACTCGTTTGAGGTCGTTTTCCTGGTTCATGCGGGGCAAACCATTGGCAATTTCTGAGACTCTCGCTTTTGCTTGGGATTACGCCAAATGCACTTATGAAGCTGAGAACCCTTTTCCAAAAGATGCGTTCTGAGCTCGGCAGGTTGGCCGTGTAGGATCCCGCCAGGGCGGGGCGCAGTAGAAATGTGACCACCTCCCTTCCTCTCCAGTCCTCTCCCCTTCCATGCCCCATGCAGGGGCCGCTGGGGAAGCCGATCGAACT